AGTGGGTCTGTGTTAGAAGCTCTTATTTTCTTGTTCCGTGATGAAAAAACATAATGTTCCTAAAGTATGTGTGTGAGAGCATGTAAATGTTAGGCCACAGAATGTAGCTGCTTATTAGTATGATTTTATTTTCACTGGCCTCTTTGTTTCCACTAATTGACTATGTTGCTTCTTTCAGCATTTCTACGTGTTCGAGTAAATGGGAATTTAGCAATTAAGGATTTCTTTTATTCTGTGCAGCTCATCGCTTCCCCATGAATTCTGTGATCTGGGCTAATGAGACATCTCATCACTTTGTTTCCAGGCTAACGTCAGCAGATGGCTAATTTATTAACTTATTTTAACCTTAAGCAGAAAACGAAACAGCAAGATATCCTATTCTGCTCCATAGCTTGAAAATGTATTTTAAACCGAGTTGTTCATCCCTGAAGACGTTGTTTCTTCTTGTAAATCTAGCACCATTTATAATGACACCTAAAGCACCCTAGTCTGTCCGTCTAAAGAATGTGTAGCCACAGTTGAGTCTGTCCCACCCTCCCGTCTGTGTGCAGCTCCCGCCTCTGGCCAAGCACGTGCCTGTGGCAGCCTGGACCAGGTGTCCCGGGTGCACGCAGTAGGCGGCAGCTGGTCTGGAAGGGCTTCTTGCAGCCCTTAGTAGGTTAAGCACAAAAAGTGCTGCATTTTATAGAAGGTGGGGCCACCAACCCCTGCGACCACCCTGCCCAGCTGCATGCAAAGGCCTGGGTACGTCAGATGTGCTGGGCACTCTGTGCTGCCATGTGAAGCCTGCTCGTCCAGGTGCCTCCACACCACCCTGGAAGCCTCTGCACATAGCAAGATTAATAGAAAATGTGGCTTTGCCTGAAACCAGCTGTGCAGCACTCGAGCCTGGTAGCTGCACCTCAGAACAATGAGGCGGGGTACAGAAGGATGACAGTGGTGTCCCCACATGCACTGCCCAGCCCTCCCATGTCCTGGCCATCGCCCCTTGGGTGGTAAGCAGGTTCAGGGCGAGGAAGGGGCTGTGACCCCCACTTGTTCTGACAAAGAGTCTTGCCTATTACACTCCCCTGTTGGGGGGTGTGTGTAACTCGGGGCATCTCCTGCTCTGCACCCCACAGCAGGAGGCAGGAGATCGAGGCGGCCTCTCTTGACCCTGCCAGACAACGCCAGCCCCCGTGGGCACCTAGGAGCCCCAGCAGCACAGCACGGGGTGGGGGGTCTGGCCGGGTGCCCAGGTGGGCTCTGCAGGGGCACACACAGCCTGTCAGGAAGGCGTCCTCATTGGGCACCAGTTTGGAGTGAGCCGGCTGAGCCAGGGGCCAGCCCAGAGCAGGGGCATCGTGCCTCAGCCTGGGGTGGCGGGGCTTCTGGCTCCTGGTCCAGGACTATCTGCTTTTGCATCCAGTCTCAGAGCTTGGGGACGCTGGCAGGGCTGCCGCCATAGGGACGCCTCCTGGTGCCACTCTGCCTGTTTCTATGGTAACTGCAGATCTATATCCTGCCTGCGTGTGTGATTGTGTTCTGTTCTCCTTGTAGATGGAGGAGATAAAATTTAAAGACAGAGCAGTCTTCGTGCTGGAGAGAGAGTTAGGGGTTCAAGCCGGGCATGCTCAGAGACTGCAGCTCCAAAAAGAGGCTCTAGATGAGCAGCTTTCTCAGGTCAAAGAGGCTGATCGGCACCTGGGCAGCCCCAGACGGGAACTTCCTTATGCAAGCGGTGCAGGAGACGCCTCAGACCACTCGGGAAGCCCTGTAAGCACCCCCCAGGCCTCTCCATGGCCAACCAGTCACAGACACACAGTACCACATGGCTGCGTGGCCCTGCGTGGGCGACTCCCTGGGGAGTTCAGAGCCTAAGTCCAGCCAGAAGTCCCTGACCTGGGAACCCCTCCGGCCGGACCCTGGACCCACGAGCTTATCTGGCTCTGGCCATGAGCCTCCCTCCTTCCTCACCAGCACAGCCTAAGCACTGGCCGCGTCACCCTCTCATGGGCCCCGAGGCCTCAGGCTTCTGGCTGTACTCCATCTGCCAGCAGCGGTCCTGGGTGGCCAAAGGTCCTTGGTCCCTGCTGGTACCAGTGCCTGCCCTTGCTGGTGGGGGCAAGGCTCTCCGAGCATGTGCTGCTTCCATCTGCGCACGGGCATTTCTGGCGCTCACTTCACCGGTCACCCTCCCACCCTCTTTTCATGTGACCATGCCACGTCTGCTCCACCTCGGGCTGCTCATGAGGGACAGGGTCAGCCAGCAGTCACACAGCCGCGACATCATCCGCTTCCTCGTCGCCACTCCTCATTTGGATTCTCTGCAGTGGTTCTGGTATA